CCGTCTTCCAGCTTCGTTACTTGTACGTCAAGGAAGGGTAATTGATTGTTGAATTCCTCTTCCATAGTGAACTGAATGTCATGAAAGATGGAGTTCAGCAGTGTCTTTAAAGCCTGCACTTTGCTCCTTTTGATGATAACGAAAGTGTCGTCGAGGTAGCTGACCCAGAACTTCGGGGGAGACGAGCTGAAGACCAGCCGTTCGAGCCTCTGCAAAACAGCTTTCGCAATAAGGTCAGATAGAGGCAAGCTCATTGGTGTCCCCTTCTTTTGTTCGTAAATTTGGCCATGGAACGTGAAGAAAGTTTTTAGACGCAATTCCAGGAGCTCGATGATATGCACTCGCTTGAGCTTTTGGTCGGTTTCATTATATTTCTCTTGGAGAAGACCGTCAATAGTCTCGATGGCCAAATTGGTTGGAATAGAAGTGAACAATGAAATCATGTCAAACAACACCATCACCTCCAGGTGTTGGATGCGGGTAAAAAACTCTTCAACAGACTTCACTGTCCACTCGGAATCCTTGCTAATGAAGCACGGTGGCTGAGGAAGTCAATTTGACAACCCAAAGGTTGGGGTGCCACGTAGGGATATGATGGGGGTGCAAGGGCACTCCTGGTTTGTGCACCTTTGGTAGGCCGTAGAAACGTACCATTGCAGCATCGGCGGCCTTTGCAGCCAGCGCTTCCCTTCTTGTGAGAGCTCCTCTATTTCTCAACTCGTTGATCGTCTTATTAATGGCGTTTTCAAACTTTTTAAACTCGCTGACGGTCGATGGCACATACGAATCCTTGTCCATCAGTAGATTTTCTACTTTTTCACAGTAGTCGACCTTATCCATGACGACAGTTGAGCGCTCTTTGTCAGCGGGCAGGGCGACGATATCCTTCATCTTCCGTATTCTTAAAAGTTCACGGGCTTTTGACCCGGAAATCGTCATCTGGAAAAGAAGATTTTTCTGCATCCTATAAAAAAAATATATTTGAACTCATTAAGACTTTTAAAATCACTGGTTAAATTGCATACTGCCTAAGTCATCGTTTTTTTACAGAATTTTGCTTTTACAGGCAGCTGAAAGGAACTGTGTCCAAAAGCCACTATTATAAAGTGATGAAAATGTCTTGGGACAAAGCTGCACACTAGTAAACGTTGAAACTATACTTAATTGATTGTTTTTATAATCGAAAACAGTGTAGAACTTCGGTTGACATTTCAGGAAAGAGATAAGCTCTCGTATAAATAGTTGGCGGTCGTCACTATGGCAGGAAGAAAAGACGCGGCAAGCAACATGAAGCAGAGCCTAATTTATAGGCTGTTTAGTGTTAACGTTCATTGAAACAACACTAGGGAGTGCGATCTGACTAAAAACCGAATCGTGAGTTATTCATTTTGTCTTAGACTTTGGGTTAGATCCTTTGCGGGAGGGGGTGTACTAAGAAAAAGTAAAGTATAAGGAGAACATAAAGTCTATTCCGGGTTCATTTATCCTCAGAAAGGCCGCAAATGCTTTTGCTTTTGTTTTAATTGTGGTGCTACATTTTTGCGATTGAAGATGGTGAAAGGCAACAAAGGGTGGGGTTGGTTTCGAAGGCAAATCACTTCAATGCAAGAGAAGTCAGTTGTAATAAGTGGCGCTAACGAGCTCATGGGAGGAAAGACGCCTATATTAAAATATGTCGTATAATCTTGTCCGTTTTTTACTCGATGTTTTATCTAGGGTTTCGGGTACCAAGTTGAACAAGGTAAGCGTAACAGACTGGTATGTTCGCATTCGGAAAATTCACCTGATTGTTTAATTTGAATGCCTAAATGAGATTAAAGAAATAAGTGCAGTTTTTTTTGCCCGTTGATCTTTTCCCAGCATTCTTGAAAATTAGTAAAACAATCAAGTAACACATCCTTGTATTTAATCTCAATTCGTGTTTCTTTTCTTAATGCCGTTTCGTCACCTGAAGAACATACAAACCTAGTGGTGGGTTCAGTATGATTTCGGAACATCAACGCACACATGAAGTCTATCGAAATTAGCATTTTATTGCTAGGTCTATGGCAAACTAGCCAGTGAAGAATCACTGCAGTTTCTACAGTATAATACTTGGCGTGTTGAAGTGTCAAACATAGTGTCTAATTTCTACCCCACAAGGTTGATTTTTTTCTGGACTGAGCAAACCAGTCTGCATCCAAATGAAGGTCAGTGCCTTAATTTATTCGAGAGTATGTGTATTCACAGCATGAAAGAGAGGGCGTCGGGAAGCCAAACCTTTCATGTCTGTATGGTGAAATTACCCGCATTATTTGTTATTACTTTTCTATCGACCATTATGGCTAAACTCCAGCCACCGCACGTATATCAAAAGTCGAGGACAATTTCGCTGAGATAGTTTGGTGGACAATATTTTTTCTATCACTAAGTAAACCATGACACATACATAAATACATACATACACACATACACACATAAATACATACGCCGTCAAATTTCCTCCGCCGATTCCAGCGCCTGGTCAGCATAGATGGAGATTGGCATGCGTATGAATGTGACCACCAACGGGATCAGTGCACAGGATTCGCTAAAGCGATGGGGCAGACGCGGGCAACGAACATGCATCGGTGTCCTTAAATAGGGCAATCATCGCGTAGGCGTACGACGAAACCTTTTAAATAAAGGGCGTAAGTGAAAGGCGTTATATGCTCGTCTGGAGAACTTTCCTGACACATCAATGACGCCACGTTTGGTTTGTTACTTGAAATTCCTGTCTATTACCTTTTTTGCAGGCAAAAGACTGCGGGATACGAAGTAATCCGGCCAGATGATAGATGATGAAACGTATCCCAACTAATATAAGCTTGTAAATATGATAAGGCATTGTAGACCAGAGTGTTAGGAATAATTTACTAAGGTGTTACAGGAGTAGAGTGTAAGTAATAGGTCAGTGACTTCCAGGCAAGCTCAGTCCAGTAATGAATGGGCCAGAGTCCAGAGACGCAGTCCGGCGAGTAACTCACCAGGTCCAGACAACTACAACCGAACAGTAGATCGCCGGTTCTGGGAAGGACTGAGCGTCAACAACCCCGCGGTAGGTTCCTTTGTGCACTGGCCTTGAGAAGTGGTCTGGCCAGTGAGCCAAACAGAGGGTGATCTTGAACAGGGGGTTTTAATATCGTCTCTTGCGCACGCGTGGTGGACATGCTAGACATGCGGCCTGACCCCGCGGCATCCGTGGAAAGCATGGCTAAGAAATGCAAGGTCGCTACAAGCCCATGGGACTGGTCTGGCACGGCCGTTTTGCATGATAGTTATGTAAAATTGGCTTCGTTGGGAGTAAGCCTTTTCTAAAGATGATAGAGATTTATTTACAGCAATTGTAGCTCATTTGCGTTTCACCAAATCGCAACACTAGTATCGTCGGGACACTGTTAAGACAAATCATTTTATCCTTTAAATGAGTGCGTTTTACATCTCGTGAGTCTTTCAGTTTAGTAGATAGAACGCGTGTAGCCAAATACACATTAACATGAAGGACCTCTCATGTGTCGGCCAGATTTACTCAAGATTTACCCAAGCGAATGCATGTATAATCGTGCAAGTAGAATACAAAGGCCACGAATCCGAGTTCACGGGCACGCGCTAGTAATAAGATGGGGTAGGAAATATTGGAGACCTGGATGTCAGACTCCAACTCCATCAACAGCAATGTGGACATAACGCCCTGTTATTTTGCCCTCCGTTCGCATGACCAAGAAGCACGACATGGTTCGTGTGCAGACAAGGACGCACGCCATAACGCCAAAGACGCACGCCGAGACGATACGAGAGACGACGTGAGCGTGGACTCAATTAATCACAGATACTACCTCCGATCTCCCCACTCAAAATTCCTCGTAGCCGGACTACGAAAAACTGCCAATGCTTGCTGTTCCCTCATTTTCTCTGATGATGGCCTCCTGCACGAAGCCGAAAGCTCAAACTAATACAAGAGCTGTCCCAGTGGTCGCGCCTTTGCCTTCGTTACAACAAGAACCTGGGACATGCATATTCGTTACTATTGTTCAAACTGTACATCCTAAGGATAGGGTGAACTATTTAGACAGGAAAGGTGTTGTCTATAAAATCCCATGTGT